AAATTTTGAGGTATACGCATAAGTCGTCCTCACTCATACTAGGAAATCCTTACGGACTCTATACATGAATCCTAGGAAACTCTATCCTAGCTCCACGACTCGACACAGGATGATCCTAAGGATACTGGAACTAGAGCTCTGATACCAACTGTGATGCCCCTGGGTTCACACAAGGCTGCAGTCCAAGGTGAAACCAAGAATGTCAAACCTGCCATGCACCACACCGTGCAACAACATGTTTCACCATTACAATTAACATCTATCTAGTAGAGTCAACAACTGGTGTAGGTACAAAACAGGTAAAAGACATTACGAGGAATACTGATGAAATGATAATAGTCACATAAATATCTCATCATCCAACAATACAGAAATACATAATCAAGGTCTGAGTAGATAAACTGAAATACTCAACAAGTCTCAAATACAAATATCTGACGATAAGGAGATAAGGCTCACAGCCTTTACAACTTCTAGAATAATACCCTCAAATGTCTAACCACACTACAGTGGAGCCCAAAGAAAATAATACATAGCTAGAAAGTAAAGCTGAACACTAATGTGGTCCGCTATCAACCTGCGGCTCTCCGTGCTCCTGGCTCGTGACCTGAAAGGGGGAGGGACAACGAGCGTCAAAGCGCTAGCGAGTAACATCACAACCAACCCTAAGGGAACAGGGCTCGTTGCATAAGAAAATACAGATAATATATATAATAGATCTAAAATCATTGATCCTACTAAAGAGGGTTTTAGTATTTAGAAATTTACAACACGAGCATAGGTACGTCGAGCGAAATAATCCAAACAAGGAAACCCTCATGTATATACCTTATTTCTCAAATTGTAAATCTCTAAACACCAAACCCGAGATTCTAGTACAGAAACAATAATAAAAGAAATACAGCTAATCTCAGAACAATATACAGTGCCATACCATAGCTAACATGAATAGCATGTTATTACTTACATAAGTGTCATGTCAACGTCATGTCGTGAACTTCTGTGAAGAAGTCATGAGCAGGGTTAAGAACGTTGTCCAAATCAAGAACTATTTATGTCGTAGTCTCCAAACTCATAAAATAAGTGTCAAATGTCCAACACGAGGACTGGAATGAATTTATAGTCCAACACGAGGACTTCTATGGATTATAGTCCAACACGAGGACTTCTATGGATTATAGTCCAACACGAGGACTTCTATGGATTTCAGTCCATCACGAGGACTGTGAAATAGTGAAAGTATCACTGGGATACATAGTGAATTCTATCTATATCAATTCACAGTCGAAACAGTGTATATATCCATATTTGGTACCCTCATGTAATCTATTGTGCCTGGGTACATAGCAAGTCTAAATAACAAAGACAGATAGTCCATTCAAACTCCCAAACCTGAACAGAACACTCAAAAATATCCAGAACAGGAAAACACAACAGACAGTGGGCGGTCGACCGCACCGGTCGACCGCACTCTGATGTGCGACCGTCGGTCGACCGGAAAAATGTCGCGGTCGACCGAAGGAATTGGTGGTCGACCGCGCCGGTCGACCGCCGAGCGGACAGAAACCCAATTCTGGGTTTCTGTCAGCTCGAAACCTGAAACAAAATCGACAAATTTCCACAACATCAAGTGTTCTAAAGTTTTGGAAAGAAGAATACTAGTCTTAAGCATGAAACCCATATTCCTAATGTTTCAAAATACATGAGAAAACAAATTGAAACGTTTTAATAACAGTAAAACATTATTTAGCTCTTGTTTAAAAATTCTCAGATCTAGATCTCTTTAACCGAATACGTTGGTGAGTTTTTTTTTTTAAAATAGGTAAAACCCCAAATCCATGTTCTATGCCACAATATTCTATTAGCTATACAAAAATACATGTTTGGCTCCATAAAACCCAATGAAAACTCAGTTCTTGACATGAAAACGAAAAGGGGTGGGGGTTGGGCGAGAAATTACTCGCCTTGGGTGAGAAGATGAAACCCCAGATCTGCAGGAGGTTGATCCCCTTCGCTGAAATCCCACAGACCCACTGACAATCTTCTAAACTGCTCCCAGATCACCAATAGAGAGGATTAGGGTTTTAGGGAAGAGAGGGGGCATCACCAATAGAGAGGATTAGGGTTTTAGGGAAGAGAGGGGGCTAGGGTTTTGATTTTCAGAACTCAAAGGGGCTCCCTCTCGTGAACAGTAGTATATATATCCACTCACAAAACCCGACCCGAAACCCAATAGACCCGAAATAGAAACCGCAAAGAAAATAAAACCTGAAACTCTCTGTACGCTGGTCGGTCGACCGTACCGGTCGACCGCCACGGTCGACCGCGCCGGTCGACCGCTCAGCATAAAAATGCCTTACTTCAGGCATTTCTCAAGCTGGCCTTATCCCCACTCGATATCTCTCACTTGTAAACACCTGCTGGGTTCCCAAACACTGATAAACATATATATATCTTATATTTATATGGTTATTCATCACAAGGGAATTTCTTCACTATTAATAATTCACATATATTATAGAAATTTCCGGGGTTTTACATTATACATCTTAAATTAACAAGAAAACTCAACTAATTGTTAAACTAGGGTTTAAACATGATTTAAGAATGATTAATAAATTAAAAAAAATAAAAGCAACCCTAATGATTATGATCATCAACTAATATAAACAGCAACTAAATCTACAGATTTTCACATTGGTTTAAAGATTAACATCATAAACTAAGATGTTAAAATATCGGATTTAAGATGAGTTGGAAAGATATTGAAGATACCTATAACTTTTGTCTTTTGAGTTTTTCATATTCGAACTGTATCGGTGTGTAATGTAGATATACTCTTAACTGGTTATTTTTCCAGATTTATTCTTTGTGCATGATTAACCTTTGTATACTCTCATATATACTCTTAATTGCTCTCAAATCAACTGTTAGCATAATTATTCATCCATAAATGATTTCATCATAATTAGAGCTCATTTATCAATATAATTCATACTATTTTCTAAAATTCACAGAGTTTTATATACTTCTAACTAGAGGTTGGTTGAAATTGAGGAAATATTATGCTGCCTTTAATATTTGTGTGTCGTTTCGATTATACCCTTATGCATTCAAACCAAAAGCAATGAAACTTCATTGCAACACAAAATTCGAGGAAAGATTATGCAAAATTAAACTTAAGTCCACTGATTTTGGATTTAGTCTTGGTTGGTTTTGGTATTAATTTTACTCCATTTGTGTAATTTGGTAATTATTTACTCTTGATAAAACCACCAACTAATTGTGATTAACATTTTAAATGGTATTGTAACATAGGGACCAATTTCAAAACACTCAAAAGATTTGAAGGACTAATTTCAAAGTGGGAAAGCTCTGGGGGAATAAAACCGATAGAACAATTCCATATATTGTGGTTAATTAGGTTTTTTTAATCACATCATGATTAGAATTTCGAGTTGTTTAATGATAATGATTTATATCACATTCAAATCATGAATTTTGAGTTCTATATGAAAGGAGTGATTTTTCCTGATGAATAAAGAATTAAGACTCTTTCCTCATAATTGTATGATCACTCTCGCCAATAAGGGTGTCAATGGTTCGGATGCGGCTCTGATATGATATTTTTCATATTCCTATTCAGTTATTTATCATAGATTCGAATGTAGATAAAGATTAGGAGTGAGCATAGTTTAGTCTAAACTAAAGTAATTGACCAAACTAGCCAAACTTTAGTATTTCGGCTAGGTGTGTATCCCAATTTGCATCGTGTTGATGAACTCTCAACCTCAACTGCTTGAACGGAACGAACAATATTTTTTTATAATATTGGGTTTAAGTTACTGGGTACAAGATTTCAATTATAATGTTGGGTTCTAACTCACTTGCCCAATCTAATCACATTAATACCAAGTTTTTTGTTGCCTTTGATCACACTATTTTCTAAATCAAAGAATTCCAATTCAAAATTCAAATCTTCAATGTCTTCAGGCTTCATGAAAATTTCTGAATTGATCAAGTTTATTTACAGACCATGGAACGTGAAAAAGAGTTTCTCTTCTGATTCCTCTGACATCAAAGGGCAATCTATTTTAGCATATGGCTATTTTTTTGCTAAAAAATAAAAGTAATAGTATCATCTGTTGGGGAAAAAGATCCGCTTACCTTTTGTAAGGAATTTTCATTGAACCCTGAAAAAATATTTTCTTTTTCAATTACTGTATTAACGAGATTTTTGGCAATTAGTCAATGCAGAGATGTGTGTGGGAATATAATCCCTTGGTAGTAGTTCAATTTTGAGATCCAAAAGCCAACAAGACAAATAAATAAAACCAAACAAACTGGCTCAAGCTGAACCGAACTGAGTTGAGTGAGTTCAATATACCTAGGCAGTTCGATTATGATTTGGCCAATTTTCCCCAAATCGAACGAGTTCGACTGAATGCTCACCCTTATAAAGATATATATTGGTAAGAAAAATTCATATTCATATTTGCCAAAATCGGATGCGGATGTGCATGCAGATGCATAGGCTATACATGCAGATATAATACAGATATATGAAAAGTATATAATATAAAAAATTTAGTTTATATGACATAAAAGATTTTGTGAATATATTATATGAAAAGCTGATATTAAGTCTCTCGATCATCAAAATTAATCGTAAATCCATTAATATTTCAGATACAGATCTATATATTTTACTTCATATTCATATCAGTAATTATATTCTACGGAATATAGATTTTAGCATTCATATCTGTATTCTTGAGGACTCTCCTCGGATCTTGAAATTAGTATGACCGAAAAAATCATATGGGCTAGTCCTCCACCTCCGTCCGGCCTCAGCCCGGTCTGAACGCACGCATCCAAGGCAGCCGTCGTTCCGCGCAAATAAAAAACCTAAGTATTATCCGCATCTTATCTATGTATACACCTTTTTCTTTTTCCTTTTGATTTTCTTTTCCTTTTTTATTTCACACCCCGAGAATTGAAGTGGACCACAGCACGGACACATCACCGCCCCGTCCTCTCTCCTGCTCCACATACCACAGCAGCAAGCAAACTCACGCCAATCTCTCTCCTCTTTCTCTCTCTCTCTGAAAACTCGAGAAAGAGAGAGAGAGAGAGGGAGAGAAGTAATGTCGAATCCTTTACCCCACTCCTCCGCCGCCGCGGCCTTCGCGGCCTCTGCCACGAAATCCTCCCTCAAGAACAATGTCCGATGCGTTTCCGCCGCCGCTTTCTCCCCTTTCGAAACCCTAAGGTACGATCTAATCTAACTCTTTTTATTCTCCTGTTGTCATAATGCTCGATGGTGAAACCGATGTTTTGATTCCGATATTGTTCCAAATACATGCTAAAGATCGATTTTTAAGCAATTTGGAATAATGAGGGTGAATAAATTTATATATACATGCTAAACTTTGCAATCTTCCTGCAAGTACAATGCTAAATATTGAATTTTTTTTTGTCACATTGGTTTGTTTTTGGCCAAAAGTCATGAGGGTTTATGTAGGTGTCAAAAAATGCTGAGAGATATCCAAACACAGCTCTACAAATCCTTCTACACGATCTACTCAACCAAGCATTGAAGGGATCGTAAGTAGAATCTGTCTTATCCAAAGTATCCCAGACTCCTTTATAAAAGAATGAGTCTGGAATACTTTGGAGGGGGTATCTGTAGGCGTCAAAAAATGCTGAGAGATATCCAAACACAGCTCAAAAGGAAGTCATCCAAAATGTCAAAAAGAACACAAGTATAGACTGTCTCGCACGCGAGACAGACTTGACTGGAGACAGCTTTCAAAAGATCAGAAACTGTTTTGTAACCGTCGACACGTGTCCATTAACTGCCAAGGACGTGGAAAACATCGTGGGCGAGAATCACGTGGATAACTGCCAAAATAACGGAGTTTGAAACGTAGGAAGGCAGTTAAAACTAAAACTGTCAGGAATATTCCTTTTCCGAGATAGCATTTACTGTCTCGCGGGCCGAGACAGCAAACACTGTCTCGCCCGCCGAGACAGCAAACACTGTCTCGACAGCCGAGACAGCAAATACTGTCTCGCGAGCTTGTTTTCCGCCAACTGTTCCTAGGGGTTATAAATATCCCCCGAAGGCCATTTTTAAGGGGGGCTGATCATTCTTGAGCACTTTGGAGCAGAGAGTAATCCAGAGCAGAGAGAGAGAGCAGAGTTCCTGAGCTTCCGGCAATTCCTTGAGATTCGAGCTTTGATTTGATCTTAAGAAGAACGATTATCTTACTTTGATAAGATATCGTTTCAAATTCTCACTTCGATAAACGAAGGAAGAATCATTAAATCCCTTACGATTCAATCAGAATCTGTGATTTGGTGGTCCACGAGTCAAAGCGCTCCCGGCACAGGCAAAGATCCCACGCAAGCAGCGATCCAAACAACGATCCTGCGTTTGTTTCTCAAGAGTTGTAATTTTTATTTTGTTGTGTAAAAGAAGTCTTATAAAAAGGCTATCTCTTTTTTGAATTTATTGTAATCGACCGAAGATATAATGAATTCCATGACAGAACCAATTTTTGGCGAAAACAGTTTATAATGGGGAGGAGGGTGGGACAAATTTTCAAAACCAACCCATTTGATGTTTTATTTGCAAAAAACGATCCGTTTCAGATTTATTTAGAGAAACCGACCTGGTTTCAGCACTGTCGCTGAAACCAGGTCGGTTTTTAAAAAAAACCTTACGAAACTTCACGAGAGTTCAACTCCCGTGAAGTTTAGTACGTTTTTAAACTTCACGGGAGTTGAACTCCCGTGAAATTTATTACCCTCAATAAACTCCACGGGAGTTCAACTCCCGTGGAGTTTGTTGTATTGTTAAAACTCCACGGGAGTTCCCGTGGAACTCCCGTGGAGTTACAGGCCAAATTTCCCAGAGAATCGCTCTCTGGGAAATTTACACTGCAACTTCACGGGAGTTCAACTCCCGTGAAGTTGCAGGTTTTGCAAAAACATGCACAGCATGCATACGTCTACCTATTTAACTCATATATACAACTATTTACCTGTTGACAATAATTACTGCAATATATATATTATTTAAACACGCACGAATCAAACAATACGCAAAAAGATCACATATCGAGCTATAATTGATCCATAAAAGTATAGTATTTGAAAATTCATACAATTTACAAATTTTAACAAAATAAGTTCAAATACAACCCAATATAGCTCCTCTCCGTCCTCTCACTCTCTTCCCCCTCCCCCTCGCTCTTCCCCGCCCCCGCGCTAATGAGCCTCGACTATCTGAGTATCCGGCTGTGTGTGAGGCTGCGAAGTGCCGGCTCCATCAGCATGTGAAGTGCCGGCTTCATCAACATGTGAAGTTCCGGCTCCATCAGCATGAGAAGTGCCGGCTCCATCAGCATGCGAAGTGCCGCCGTCATCGTCACGTGGCCGTCGGCGCCGAGTGTACGCTTGCCCAAATGATCGAGACCTGTCCTCACGGCCTACGAACTCGTCGACGTGAGTCTTATGAAACACCTGTGCTATGGTCTTCTTGATCCTGCCGAGGAGTCCTAACGCCACCTGATCCTGAATCTCAGGCACGGTCGCATCAATATCAGCCTGAATGCTATCAAAAGCACGGATCCCAATACCAACGCATATACACGATATAGTTAACAGCTATGGGTCTCGTATCATGGATGAAATCCCACTTATGAGCCCACCTGTCTATGTAGGCTGCATGGACTACGGCCCAGTCGGTACGGTACGAAGTAGGTCACCGTCGACGATCAATCTGCTCAACAGGATCAGGCACATGCTGAGAGAGCGTAAACTGTCATAGCACACGGTAAAGGACATGCATCTCCACGATCTTCCAAAAAATCAATGGAACTCTGGCTCTCCATAAGTCGGGACTATCTCGGCAGATGGGTGCAAGAGAATGCATATCCAGCTCCGGCGGTGTATAGGGTCTCCACTTGAACTGAAATAAAATAAAAAATTTATCAGTATCAACAACAAAACTATAATATTCATAACGACTTGAGATTTATATTTACCTGTTCGTGTTGGAGGCCATCAAGCTCATTTCGGTAAAACTCACGATGCCGCGTCGCTGATCGGTACTTAGCGTACCGCACGTTATACCTATATGTAGAATAGAGAATATATAAGTACAAATTCAGTGCGAATAAAATTTGTGTGTACAATTATACCTGTATGCCAAAGGAAACTGCCCCTGTAGGTCACGATGCACAAGTAAAGTAGGGCGTCCAATATGAATGCGCTCCTATGACCAAATCTGTATCAATGTGCAGCATCCCTTGAATTCTTTATTCTGCATCAGGGATACTCTACTCAGTTCTCGATACAAGTATGCTAACACCGCACTGCCCCACGACAGTGCGCCGCATACGTCAAAATCCTCTAGCAACGGCAGCCATCGTGCATGTACAAGAGTCTTGCTCGCATCAGGAAAAAGCACGCACCCTATCATGTGTAATATGTAAGCCCGAGCATGGAACTGAAGCGTCTCATCACTGGCATCCTCTGGTATGTCGCCCTGAAATGTCTGACGAAGCCACGATAGCTTCATCGCACCACTCCTCAAGTCCGGAACCTATCCAAGAAACCGGGCACATACCTCCGGCCAACTATGATCATCGGTGCCCGTAACTGGCGGCCCATCGATCCGGAGCCCAAGAATGACGACCACGTCCTGTAAAGTGATGGTGCACTCCCCTATATGCATGTGAAATATCGAACCGTCGAGCACTCCCGAAAACCAGCCTGAGAGATCAGCGCTAGAACTCTCTCATCCTCAATGACCCAAGATGAATGGCTCTGGGAATGCTCGATCATGGTGATATCAGGTACGGGCTGCACGTCAAAAAAGAATTGATTAAGTATAATGCGAAAAATTAAAATTAGTGCCAATGCTAACTAGCATATACTTGTCCTGAGCCAATATAATCTGAAACGTGGCTCGCTTGGAGGGTCAAAACGTCGGAGCGTCTCGGTCCCGGATCCATAATGAATATAACTGAGAATTATATTAGAAGACAATGCTCAATGTGTTAGATCTTTTTTGCATTCTTGTTATTCATCTCTAATCGAGGATTGCTACAAGTGTGGAGTCCGTTGTATGCCGTGATTTTGAATTGCCCGCCTACTCTTACACCGGAGCGTGAATTAAGCTTCCACGGACATTTCGCATTGCCGTCGTGGTGTCCACCAATATCTTCATCATCGCCATCTTTGCGATAGAAACAAACCGCATTATAGCTTGTAGTATTATTTTTTGTTGGCCTAAACTTGACATTTTTTGCAATGGCGTACAAGCGAAGCGCATGGATCAATTTCTCCTTGCTCTCATATAGATCTCCCTTCACGAATGAGAAGTCCTCGCCCTGTGTATCATGACCGCTATTAGTGCCAATAGGAACACTTTCCATCACGGAGTTATCGATTCATTCTTCTCCTTGAAGTTCATCGGGCGGCGGATCCTCTAAGACAACATACTCATTATTAGCATAACACCCGTCAATGTGGTGGTTGTCCCCTTCATCACGATCTATCAAGGTCATGCTATTAATTTGTAAGCCCTCCTCTTCATCATCATTCTCAGATTCAACACTTGCATTATCTTCTTGAACTCCCGTGTTAGTATCGATTGCATTCGAAGTGCCCACAAGCGAAGGACCGCTCATATATTATGATTGTGTCCAACCTTCATCTTGTTGAGGAGATAAAAAGCCAACGGAATCAACATCAGGGTCTTCCAACATGCGGGAATACATTCCATCATAATTCAACGATTTGCCCAAATTCCTTTGATGTTTTTCAATGAACAATTCAATCGAACGCTTCTCGTCATGTAAGACTCCAATGAGACTCATATCGTAGTCACTTGATATTTGAATGCCGCTTGTCCTGTTCTCCACGACAGGATAATTACAAATAACATTAAGGTGATACTCACGTGAGTTGGTTAATGTAAGTTTGTGCAATTTATTAACCAACTCATCGAAAGTACACGATTTTGTTATAAACAATGGTGTCGTCGTACCACCTTCATAAACGGGCATATTATTTTCGAGGTATTTATTCTTCCCATCATACGAACACAAAATTACGATTCGATCGTTCATCATTACCTCTAAAGAGTAAAACAATCAAGATCAATATTATACGAAAAGACTTTAAAAATTTATTGTTACTTAAAATTAAATCCTATATCAATTTTAGGGAACCATAATTTTTTACAAATTCATATAC